GTTCGTCCGTTTGTTCTACGCCTTTGCGTCTGAGTTCGTGTGGCATGACTTCTTGAAGGCACAGCCTATACAATTTCTTAGGCTGAGGGGGAGAGCAGGGCGACCTTTGATTCTGCAACAGCCAAACTATGGTCAGCGTGGTTGATACATGCATGGCACGTGGCTCAGGGGGCCCCCTTTTGCTCACCCAGGCAGAGCCTAGGCTACATTCGCTAGGAGCCCTAGAGGCCCTCGCACCGAGTGGAAGCTGGGCGATCCGGAGGGCAGAGTCTGGAATGGAAGGGGGCCAGTCCCTAACAGATCCACAACACATGCGGCGATAGCCGCATCGTGGGACTCGGCAAAAGCCAGCGAGGCCACGGGCGGCAACGCGCGCAGAACATGGGTGCACCGGGGAGAGGCACAGAACAAAATCAGCAAAAAAAAAAAAAAAAAAAAAACAACCAAGCGGACTGTAAGTCAGGCAGCGTGTGGATGCCTTGGAGGAGCTGATCTTGCTTGGCCCTCGTGAGCTGGAGCTGTGCCGCAACATTTTTGGTTCAAACCATTTTGGCTCAAGTGCCTTTTTGGCTCAAGCCTTTTTGGCTCAAGCCTTTTTGGCTCAAGTGTGTTGGCTGGCTGCCCCCCTGCCCCGTTTTTTGTTTGGCTGCCCTCGGTTTTCTTTGTTCTGTTTGGGGGGGGGGTGCGCCCGGTGGAGCCTGGAACCACCCTAACAACAGGGCGCCATTGTGCATATCTGGAAGCTGGCCAGTATAAAAACAGCTCTGTACTAAGACCTCCCCGTGGAGGCCGGGCCACACACAAAAAAAAACAGGCCCGAAAAGAAAACAGGGTTGGCATAGCTGGGGGACCGGCCCAGAATAAACAAGGCAAGCTCGGCGTCGCCTCCGCCTTTGGACATGGGCCTGTCCATGCTTTCCGACGTTGACATGCCGCCGGTCCGGCCAGCGCACGTGCACGCATCCGACTCTGAACCTGGGGACCGTGATGCAGGGGGGCCGCCGGAACGCGCACCCGGCCCTGCGGTGCCGGACGCTGGGCTTCCCAATGAGGCCGGAGCCGCCTGGCTGCGAGCGGGCCAATTCCTGGCTGTATGTGCCCCTGTTGCACGCGGCTGCTGGTCGCCTGTCTCCCGACGCCCTCGCCCAGTGGAGGGCCGACAGCCGGGCGGCCTCTTGGTGGGACGCGCTCGTCACGAGCTTGCTTCGGCGCCCGCCACTCGCCCCGCCACTCTCCTTGCCGCCCTCGAGCTGGCGCCAGAAGCGGAGTCCGCCGCCTTGCTCGCTGTACGGCTGCAGCAGGCCGTGTCCGTGCTGCCGTCGGGCGCCATGGTCCACCTCCCTTGGGTCACGAATGCGCTGGTTCGCACAGGGCGCAGTCCACCCTTTCGGGCGCCGATGTTGGGCGAGGCGCCCGGAACCGGTGTGGCTGTCGCCTGCTGCAAAAGCCCAGCAGCCAGCGGCGGAGGTGAGGTGCTGAAGCGTGCCGTTGCGCCGTCGCAGGAGAAAAAAAAGGCAAGCCACCGCGGGAACCGGGGCAGACTGCACAGCGGGGCCGGCTCTGGCAGGCGGCGGAACCCGCACACTGTCAGCACACTGAGCGAGGCGTGCAGCCTTGCGGCTGCCGAGGAAAGCCAGGAGTAAGGCACCTTGAGCGGAAGCAGGGATGTATCCCTCCCCTCCTTGGATTAGGGGCAGCGGCACAATAAGGCCAGAAAGGCACGAAACGAGCATCACAGCGCCACTGCGGACAAAAGGTTGCAGAAGTTTCCATCTGCGCGGTGAAGCGGGCGCAGGCAAAGGGGGGGCCAGCATTGCGCTTGCTTTGTACTAGCTCCACGCCCCAGAAGCAGTCCCGCCAGCCTGTCTCCGGTTCGCGACCGAGGCGTCCTTCCTGAACTGAGGCGTGGCTCTTAGTTTCCGTTTCTCCGTCTCACCTGTCGGACGGGACAGGCGCCTATCTTGCTGCCCGACGCTGCGTCGCGAAGGAGCGGGGGCTCAAGCGACAACTTGGGGGAAGTACTGTAGGGACAGCAAGGAAGACACAGGAAGCGAAGGGGCCAGACTGGGCGGGCGCGAGCCAGCGCGCGAGCTCAAGGGCGCGGGAAGGCCCTCCCTGGTAATGCTGGCCCACGGCGGCGGGCCGAACCCAAGGTCAAGGAGCTGTTGGAGAGAGCGCGCGCTGAAGGCAATTCTGGCTCAAGGCCTTGGCTCAGTGTAGTTTGTGCTGGCTGCCTGCCTGTCCCCCCTTTTGGTTTGGGTTCTTTGCCGTTGTGGTTTTCTAGTTTTTCGGGCTGCCCCTGGTTTCCTGTTTCGCGTTGGTGCTTCCGCGGCGGTAAACAAGCCGTGACACGGCTGGGAGGCGGGCCCAGAATAAACAAACCGTGCCCAGGATAAAAACAGTTTTGTGACAAGACCTTTCCTTGGAGGCCGGGCATACCAACTGTCAACACTGGGGGGGCGGGCCCCTACACCAACCGCCGGGAGGACTGTCAACCGCCCTCATGGCGATGGGACGCCGTCCGTCGACACGGCTGACGCTGCAACGTTCCCAGGTGCCACCCCGGTGCTCCCGGCCGTCGCCGCGGCATCGCCCGTGTTTTCCGTCAGTTCTTCCCCTCTCGCTCCTGGTGTTCCTGCCACGTGTGATGGGGAGCCGGCGCCCGTCACACCGGATTGGCTCCTGCGTGCGGCCCAGCTGCAGCCGTTGGCTGCGACAGAAGCTGATGCTTGCCCCGTATGCGCGTGCGCCGCGCCCACTGCGGCTGAGTGGCCCGAGGCCCCGTTTGACACATGGGCTGAGTTGCCCTCGCGGCGCATGGCGCGGATGGCGGCACGCTCGAGTTGGAACGAGCGCCACACTCCCGCTGTGGGACAGGCGGCCCTGTGGTCGCCGAGCACGTCCAACGGCGTTTCGCGCCGACAATGCCGGGGGGCCGCAGGCAGCGGCAATCGCAGCTTCCGAACCTCGGGAAAACTGCCGGAAGGGGAGCGCGTCCTGTGGCTCGGCCGGGGCGATGGGGTCCCTTGTGGGGGCCCCAGCGCTGAAGCTGCGCACGCCGGGCAAATGTCCTCCGCGGTGGGCCTGACGGCCCTCGACCGAGGACACGATCCCCCGCCCTTCTTTCGCAACTAGGCGCGCGCGCGAAGCCCAGCCGGAAGCGGAGCCACACATGCTTAGCGAGGGGAGAGGGGCCAACTTGCGACCCGGTGCGCTTCCGGGCTTTGGCGCGGCCCAACGATCCTGGCCACGCGGCTGGCTTTTCGAGGCGTCGCTGGCTGCAGGGAGGGGCAGCGCTGGCGGGAGTGCTGCCGCAAGGGGACGCAGCTCGCCTGGCAGAGGCGGGCCACCGCCTCCCGAATATCACTGCTCTGCGGGGTTGCGGGCGAGGGGCGCCGCTCTGGCCGTCAGCGCGCAGTAGATCCTCCGGCGTCACGCCCGGAGACGCCAAGGCGCGAAGCTCTCCAGTGCCACCTTGAGCCACGCACTCGAGGACTTCCCGCGCAGCAACGAGCCATGGAGGAGTTGCAGGCTGCCCCCGTGGGAGCCGACCTAGCACCATCACTGCCAGGGCACCCGCCAGAGTGCCGCAGCACGCCCCCAGCCCCACCAGCCCCAGCAAAGCACAGGGCGGCAGCCCTTGTTTACATCCCTCGCCCTGAGAGACTTCCCGGAGGCGGCAAGGCACAGCACGCGCTCGAGCGGCGGCTGGCCACGCGCGCCCAAGCGGGAGAGCGTGGCGCGCCGGGCATTAAAGGGACTCCTTGTTCCCCACCCTCCACCTGAAAAACCGCGTGGGGGACGCCATCAGCGTCAGGCCGCGCAAACTCCGACGGGGTGGTATGGAAGAGACGCGCGACAGGCAGGCAAACATTGGCGCCAGTCAAATATCACATCCTGCGGGGGTGGGCGCAAAGGGCAGTGACCCAGATACGGCAGTGGCCGACTGGTTGGAGTTCGGGGCTTCGTTGAACATCAACAAGGAGGCGCCTGCGGACCCCAACGACCAGAACAAGACGGAGCCAAGACCGATGGGTGGGACATCTGAAGGACCTCCAGAACTGCAGCTCCTTCAACGAGAACCCCCAGCGCGCCAAGGACAAAGTGGACAGGATCCGGCATCAAGCACAAGGCCGACGGCTCCTTGAAGAAGCGGTTTGCCATCGACCTACTCAAATCGAAAAGGTTGGGAGGCGCTGGCGTGAAGGCCGGTCAAGATCCACTTTTCACATAAGATGGGGTCACATCTGACTGGGGAGCCTCCGTTGTGCTTGGGGGACCTAGCCGAGGCGTTCTGCCAGTTTCCCGTTCCGGAGAAGCCTCTGCAACTTCGCCCCAGCGGACCACTCGGGCAAGGTCTACTGCTTCGCGGCAATGCGAACCTCCGATTGCCTCTAGATTTCCTGCGACCAGCTGGCGCTACATTGTTGGAATGACTGGAGTTCCACAGGCGGGACAACCATCATGCAGTCCGACTGTGGACATTGCTCAACGCGAAGTGCCGAAACGGCAATTCTCCGCAAGCATGGTTTGGACTCCCCTTCGGCTGCAGTTCGAAGGCAACCCTGCAGGCTTGAGGTGATGCAGAGTGTTTGCTCGGCCAAAGCGAGAATGCGCAAAGCGACCAGACGCGTCAATCCAAGTGCGGGAGCGACAGCAGCCGACATTTCAACACAAGCGTTGCGCAAAAAAAAGTTGGGTCCCAGAAAGCCCTTGCATGCTTGGTTCTCCATTGAATGGTGGCAACACCAAACAAAAGACTGGGTGACCTTGGCCGAAACTAGCCAACAATCCCCAAGAACAGTTGAATAGTAACAAAGAGTCCATGAACACGTCGGCCACGCGGCCGATCAACTCCCAATCCAAAAAAGAAGAACCAATGGCGGCGTCTAGCGCTGGCTGCCGTCTTAGCAAACAAAGCAGCAGGGATTGACCGCCTGGCTGTTAAGCTTTCACCTTGAGGCAATGAAGCAAAGCGCAGCGCCGCCCGCTCCGGTTTTCGACTCCTCAGCTGCTAAGCAACGCAGCCAAGACCTGGACAGAGCAGCTTGAGTTTGTATGGGGGCTTTTTTGAAGGTACCTTTCGATGTTCTCACACGTTCGCGGGACTCAGAACTGTGACCAGGGTGATCCTGCCTTCAGGCCTTGCTGGCGGGCTCCTGCCAAATGAGTCACACAGACACAGGCCTTGAGAAAAAGACCTAAGCGAAGGTAAAGGCCAACTTGCATATGGCAGGGTTAGGACACTTCCCTCTCATTCCTTGGGGGGGTAATAAAGGCCATCACATGGAATTGCCTGCTTGATTGCACCAGGTATGCCGGAACACCCAGTCAAGGCAGCTTCGTCCTTCAGCTCAGTCTTGACCTCCTGCAAATCCGCTGTTCCCGCACTTCTGGACTTGCGCGAACAATTTACCCAAAGGTCATGGCATCCTTGTAACATTCAAGCAGGTGGGCACCATGGTACACGTGACGCTTGAAATTGTGCGAAAAAGTGTACAATTATCTCAGGGGGCAACTGGGGGCTGGGGGGAATTACTGCATGGTCCTCAACATAGAGACCCGCACTGTGGTCCTTGGCAACCATTGGTGCAGCATGCCTGTCCTCCTTCTCCTTCTGCTCTTCCTTTGGCTCTTTCTTTAGCTCAGTGACCTCTTCCACCTCTTCATAGAGGTCTTCCACCTGGTCTCATATTATGGCTAGTCACAGAACTTAGATGTTCTCTCCGTTTCTCTTCAACCTTTAACTTTGTTGACCATGTCATTTCAATTAGGCTCTAAGGAGGTGAAAAATCCACGCACCCCGTGCAAGTGACAAAGGCCGACAGCACTGCCTCATCATCGTCATCGACCTCTTCGTACAAAAGTTCCACATCCTCCTCCTCCTGAAAACGGCAATACCAAAAGGCTGCTGGATACAGCTCGGTACGCGAATTTGCTCTGACGTCTGATGCAGCCTAGCGTATGGATGTGGGAACCCAAAGAAAGTGCTTAGGATGATCACCAAGGGACACCCTTCATGAAGCCCAAGCCTCAAGCCCCTCTCTGAGCCTGCTGTTCGGATCGCCCGAAGTTCGTAGCGAAGGGGAAAATGAAAAGGACCACGAGCCTCAGGACAAAGCATGAGCAGTTCCAACTACTCTCGAAGGACTAAGGAAACGCGCAGCACAACTCAGAACGCAAGGTCAATCCACATCATGCCTTTTGGCCATCATCTGCCAACGCTCCGAATCTTTGCTAGTTCAGACGACTCCACCCTAGAGACCTCATTGCCAGCCCGAGTCCATAGGAGCGAGCACTCTCAGCACTTTGAGCCGCAGGCATTAGGCAGGAGACCACAAAGAACACGGCATAGACCTAAAAATGCCGATACCAAACATGGTTTCCATGCCCGCTGTCCACCCAATCTGGGCGTTTGAGCAAATGGTTGCTTGAACTTTCATTGAGGCAATCGCATCAAAAGGCTGGCCGATGTTCTCGAAGGCGTCATATGTTTGGATCTGGGCTGTCAAGCAACGCAAGCTGTCCCTGGAGAGAAAAGGTAGCTTGCTAGATCCTCTTATGCCCATCCACTCTCCTAGGAAAATCGTTGTGCCTTGAGAAACTTCGCTTTTGACTGCTCTGCGCTGCCGCACTAAAACCTTCTCGCCCCTGTCCCCGCCTGCCGCACGATGCGGGGCCTGCCGCACTTAGCCCGGCGAAATGATGCCTTAAGAGAGAAGGGAAGGGAGGGGTGGGGGGTATTGTCCAAATATGCACTTTTGGAAATTTTGGGGGGAGAGCATTCACGAGACGCACTCGCTACGCACTTGCAGATCTCGGGTGTCCTTCTGGCCTGGTGAAAATTAGGCGTGCCTAGATCGTGACATGCAAGCCTACAGCCTGGCTGACGCTAGTTGGCCCAGTGCGCCTGCAACTGGCCAGATCATGTTTCAACGCCAGAGACAAACATGTTGGAGGCACTCAACATTGTGCCGCCATTCTGCGCAACTCACATGTTAAAATCCCTAAAACAATTGTTGATGAAAGCTGATTGCAGCTTGGCGGTTCAGTTGTAATACTTGCTTGCTTGCTGGCTGGCTGGATGGCTGGCTGGCGGGCTGGCTCGCTTGCTTGCTGGCTTGCTGCTGGCTTATTGCTGGCTTATTGCTGGCTTATTGCTGGCTTGCTGCTGGCTTGCTGCTGGCTTGGCAGCTTGCCGGCTTCTTGGCTTGCTTGCTGGCTTGCTGGCTTGGTTGATTTGTTGCTTGCCAAGTGGGCCTCCGGAGACATCTAAACAACATCAGGTTGCGCATCGTTAGAATGCCACTTCTTTGAAAGCAAAGGCTCCCTTAGAAACTCTGAGGCCACTTGAATGGACCCGTGGAAGTTGCCACCTGTTGGAAACCGGTCGCGGAAAGCATCGCTTATCCTGCCTCGTCGATCTAACCGCCGGCGCCAGTCCCGGCCGCCTCACAGCTCGGGACCGTTGGCCCAAGGGCTGCGTGCGCGAAGCAAAAGCGCTTGGCCACGTCATTGAAACCGGGTGCTTCCCTTGCAGATGCTTTCATCAACATGCTGAGAGGCCCACGCAGCACCCACAAAGCTAAGGTCCTGCACCGGCAGCGGACCAAGTTAGGGGCTTGAGGTTCCAAAACCAAAGCAAAGAGGACGACACACTTGCCTAGCTGTACATGGCGTTGACTGGCAGATTCTGAGACGTCACAACTCATGGATGGCTTCAGGATATACTCAAATGCTCGCGGGGCATCCGCAGTATTCCCCGGTCTCGCCACCAAATCTCACACCCCAGAGCCCCCACTAAAAGGACCCCGGCAGAAACCGGGGGGCGGGGGCAAACGGAGGTCCCGGCTTCAACACTCATGGGAGCGGCCCCCAATGGAAGTCCTCTCTGCAGGCAGCGAGAATCCCCGCGCAAAGGCAAAGGACCTGGCACGGGTCTAGAGAAGCCAAGGCACGAATCTGGAGTTTTCCTGTGGGTTGGAACCATCCCCAACAAATCTGAAATAGGGGTGTTTCTAACAGACCTCAATTTGTGACCCACCCCCCGCCCCCCCCCCCCTAACTCGCCAACAGCACAAAGCGATGCTAATGGAGTCACTCTTGATTCACGGAGATGGCGCTCGGAGTTTGAAGCGCGCCATGTCCTGGATGCAGAACTGAAGCAATTGGTTACCGGGACCTTGCCATCGGACGAGACTTGGTCATCGGACCAAAGCAATAAACCGACAAACGACCACGAAACAGGGCTCGCACCTGGCACCGGCGGCGCCCCACGTACGAGACGCTCGCCATGGAGTCGTTCCCCAGATGCTATTAGCTTCGTGGTCTGGTTCCAACATCTGACTTCAAGCTACCTGCGACTGGTCCGGTCTCCTTGAACCTTCTTGACTCCGCGTGGTCGCTAACTTTGGCTTGGCTTCAAAGGCTACGGGAGTATCGCCATCCCCGCCATCCCCGCGATTCGCCGCGCCAGGCCATTCTGAGTGACCCCTGCACCTCGCACTTGTCTCCTCCGGGCAGGACTGTGAAGCGGACAGCGCACTACCGAAGCAACACCCTCGGTCCAGTGCGCTGAGAGCTGCACAAACATCTTCCGGGGAGTTGTGGCCCCGTGGCCATTTGAATGGAAGGCATTTCGTGAAGGAGCGACGCACCGGTGGCCAACTCCCTTTCGGCAGGCTTCATTAATGGCTGGCCTTGGGGCGCAAATTCTTCGACCGAACACCTCACCAACGACTCACCAAAAAAAGGCTTGACCAGCAGACCTTGGGTCTACGGTGAGGCGTTGCACATCTTGCTTCGCAAGAACGGAAGGAAAAACGTCAATGCACAAGGTCTGTGCAATCTACTTTGCTCCAGGCTATGTATCCACAGCAGCCTGACAGCAGAGTGCAAGGAAACAGCGAGGAGAATGATCACACAAACACACTGGAGCTGGAAAATCTGTGCATGGAGCCTCGTGTTTACTGCTGTTTGTTGCTTGGTGAGTGACCCCGTGTCGTTCTCCAGAGCGGACGTAAGTGCTGACACAACCCGTTCTCTTTGATCTGACAATTAGAGTGGGCTTTGCATCCAATATGTTTTACCATCACAGTTTCAGAATCACTCTTTTGGCCAGCAACTTGGGGCGCTTCTTTCCGAAGAGATTCAGTGGTCAGTAGAGGTCTTTGCTGTCAACCGTCCGAAACGGTGGCTTTGGGATGGGCGAGGCGTGAAGGCGACTTTGATGTGTGTGTGTGTGTGTGTGTGTCATCAAACTGTTTGACAGCCCGATAAATTTCCAATCAAGCAACATGGACCAAAAGGCTTCGCAGTGCTAACATGCCGCGCCTCACTGAAGCTTTGCTCGGGGGCCTGCCAGTTCGGCAAAAAGAAGAGCTTGCACTAGCTTCGCGTACAAACTATGTGGCATGGTGGTGCGGTATGGGCATGAGCATCAAGTGAATCAAGCTCAAAACCTGGTATTGTAGAAGACGACATTGCACAAACTCTGAGTGTGTTCCCATGTCTTTCTCAACACCCCCCACAAGCACAGCCCTGAAGGAAAGCCCCACCCCCCGCCCCCGCTCAAATAGCCCCGACAAAAAGTCTGAATCACCCCACCCACAAAGAGTCCAAAGAGTCCGAACGTCGTCTGGGTATTCCGCAAGGTGGGCGTTCCATTTCCCAGCCTTGACCTTCCGGGCACGCCGCTTCCTGCCACGAAAGCTACGGATTCCCAGCTCAGGTTCCCAATTTGAGTTGGAAATTGGGTCTCCCTGGTTGTGGCAAAGGTGAGAAGCTCTGCAAGGCGATGTCATCTCTGGGCCCAGTTTGTGTTCTTGCGCGGGTTTCGAAGTCCCCAGGTTTAGATCATTTTGGAAACATGGGTTTCTCAAAAATCGTCTTTGACCAACCACAAAGGGGGCACAAGCCATTTTGAGAAACCTTCAAATGCCACGACGCAAAGAGAACCCCCCCCCCCGCCCGCACCTGCGCACTTTCGCAGGTGCGGCTCGATCCGTCTGAGACGAAGTCTGGCAAGGCGACACACGAGCAGTACGTCTGTTTCAACAAGCCTGCGTGCCTTTCTGGGCACGTGACATTTCACAAATTGGAAATGCGGCATCCCAAATACCGGACTTTCACAGTCAGGTTGTCTTCCCCCCCAAGCTAGCTCGCTGCGCATGGCTAACAGGGCGTGCCTACCATTGCAAAGAGTAAAGGGCCCTTCGGGAAGGCTCCTCTCCCCATAGGCCCTAGTCCATGGCAACATCGGGTTGCCCAACCCGCGTGCCTCCTCACCACTCTCGTGCCCTGCCGCTGCGAGTGGGGTCGATGCGCAAGCGAACGGATAGGGCGATCCAACAAGTAGGTGCGCTGGGCGAGGGCAAAAGAAGCCGACTTTGAGTTCGCTTGGGTGGATGGTGAGGTCGAAGAAACGAGCTGGTGGACTTTCCCAAGGCTCAGGGTCCTACTTCCTACTACAAGTAGCCTCCTTTTGAACGATGCAAAGTAACGGGTCCCGTTTTCGAGTCATTCATCCGACTGGAATACGCATCCTTTGCCCGCCTGCATCTGGCTGTGATGGCGTCGATTTTCCTGCGGCACATCTGCGCGTTGCGCCACCCATCCAGCCGCTTCCACTTGATTTTCCCTTCGCGCAAGAAGCCTCGGGTTTTGAGCCATACTCTCCGCATACTTCCCCCCAACAAAAAAGGAGAAACCAGGCAGGCAGGCAGACAGAGACAGACAGACAGAGACAGAGGGACAGACGGACAGGCGGACAGGCGGGGGTGGGTGGACAGACCAGAGAGACCAGACTGACAGAGAGAGCGAGACAGTCAGAGAGAGCGAGAGAGACGAAGAGCGAGCGAGAGAGAGAGAGAGAGAGACTTGTCTTTGCTTTGAAACCGAAAAACCGGCTTTCCGGGACACTCGCCATTTCCATGTCGATGGCCTGTGAGCTCCTGGATGAGGAGCTCCACGCCTCGGTCCCGCGACTTCGCAAGTGGCTTTTCAGGTTTCCGGATGGATGTCCTTTTTTTCTTGTCCTCGTGTCAATGCGCATCCTTGTGGTCTCCCTTTTGGTTTTTTGCTTCTCGTGATCCTTCTGGGCATTCCGTCCAAAGAGGAAGATTTCAAAGGAGAAACACGACATGATGAACCGAAAAGAATGATCAATGACAAAATACACATCAGCGTAGCGCTGGTCCCAAAGAAAATAGCAAGTATGCATCGGCTGGTGGCAAGAGTGGGTTAGAGTAGGTTGTCTCACAATGCCTTCAAACAAAGTATGTCACATCTTAAAGGGACATCCACCAAAAATGTTTAAGACAAAGCCTGGCTTCCATTTGGCTTCGCTTGAGAATCCCCATGAAAATGTGCCGTACTCTGAAAAGCCACACCCAAGTTCATTGAAGTCAGCTTTTATTGAGTTTCTCAAAATAAGTTTTGAGGAAAGGATTTCATGTCCGGCAAACATCATGTCCCTGGCAATCAGAGGCACCTTAGCGGGACCTAGTGCCGTACTTTCCTGTTGAAATCAAACAATGGAACCAAGGAGTCCGATCCCAAACCGAGACTCTTTTGCATGTAGTTGGCTTTGGCTCTGTGCCACTTTGCAGAGAAATGACTTTAAACAACTGAGTGTGTTCCAATGTTCAATTAGAATCCTGGCATTCCGACGTCTCGCTTCAGCGAATTGAACAGGACGTGTTCGGTGTTGAAGCTTAACGCTGTCCCCCCCCCTGAATTGGAAGCGTCAGCAAATCTGACAAAGTACGCTAGCGCAAGCGCAAGCAAAGTGCGACACGCGCGGCAAACATTCCGAGCATAGCAATTCTAGTCCGGCTACCCATGGTGGGCGGGGGCAACATTCGCCGGGCTGAATCTGAGCGTGCCAACGCCGCTTCGCTTCGGAGCAGCCCTCCACGAGGAGACTCGGATCGCGGGGATCGTGGGGTCGGGGGATCCGATGGGATGCTGGAAGATATAGTTCAAGCGGAGTAACCATTCAACAAACAATGGTAATCTTGAAGGTAACAAAAAGTAGACTTGGGTCCGACCCCTGGATAAGGTGATGGCTTTCACTTAAGCTTTCCTTTACACCAACCTCAAAAATGGTCCGGTTTTGGCCGTCAAGAGCAGATAATTCACCTGGCAACACCGGCTGGCTGCCTGGACACATCCCAAGCTGGGCTCATTGCTCCTGGGTTTGTGCTACGTTTGCCGTGGCTATAAACTTCTTGCTTGTTTACTCCCTGGAAGCCGGCCACGTTTCACATGAGACCCTGCCAATGTTTGGTGCCAAAACGGCTAAGCCAAGACAAGGAAACAACTCAACCAATGAAGCATAGCACGCCGATCCAAACATAGTTGGAAGGCCAGTGAATGTTGCAGTGACCTCGTCAAGCTCGATCCCGGGGCCGGTGCAGTCCATCTGCTCTCAGCATCAACCTCTACCGAAGCGCAAAGCGGGGCGCGCGAGGGGGTGGCTGTGTCTCCAAACAAACTGCCATCATTTTCGCGGCTGGAATCAAACGGAGTTGTGTTGAACCCTGGTGCAGACGCCTTGGCGTTTATTCGCCTTGAAAACACCAAAGGCCCCCAGCTTCCACGCATACTCGCATCTGTTATTTTCGCTCGCCGCAGCTTCGTTCACTTCGAACAAAAACCGTTGCCGTCTGATCTTTCACCGCCACAAATGTTTGGGTCACCCCGTGTTACAACAGACTCAGACTCCACAAAGGCGGCAAAAGCCCCATGCCAGCAAAAGCTCGGGAGGAACAGCGGCTTTTTGTTGTTGGCACACCATGCGGACATTCCAACGGCACTGAATTAACTGAGCTTCCGTGTCCCAACTTCGTGACGATCCATGTGCCATCTGGAGCCTCAAAATTCCAGTGGAACCCGGCGCCACCCCGTTGAGCTGCTCGTTGCTCACAGAACAAGCAAAGGACAAGCCGCCAACTTTGACAGCCCAATGGCCCGAAGTGACTCTACAAATCCAAGCGGTGGGTCCACAGCATTGATGATAGCAGGCAAAATCTGCGGACTTTCCTCTCCGTGTGGAAAGCATCTCGGACTTGCATACGAAGTTCGTAGTGTGTTGTGAACATGGAGCTCATTCAGGACGGCGTTGCATTGGAAGCCAATGGATCAACAGCAATGACCTCCGCACTCACCCGGGCATTTGAACCACTTCCCCCAATTGGTGAGTGGCCCAGCTCCATGATCCACCACAAGACGGTCACATCCTGGGGCAGGGCCTGAATTGGCTCGTCTTTCAGCTTTGTCTCCCTCTCACACTTAAACCATCCGCGTCCAACAAGCGAATAACAGTCAACACCACACAACCACGTGCAATGGTGGTCAACCTCAAAATCGCCATTTCTTTGCATCAAATGCTTTGCCAAGCCCCTCGAGAGCTTTCTGATGCATGTGTCCCGCTTCTGTTGATAACCACAACTTGCCTGACAAGTTGCGTCAGCTCGCTTACAGGTTCCTCCAATCCAGCTGGCAGTGGTGGCACATGCATCGCTGAAGGGCTGTTACCAAGTGCCATCTCAATCATCACAACTCCCATGACAGTCATCCCAATCGTCGCTGCAAAAGCCATTGCTCTCGATCCCGCCAGGTCACACTAGCCCCAGATGCAAGATTGGCAAATGGCACCAATGGCCAGGGAGCTCCGCAGTGAATTCCTTGCAAAAATGACTTTCAACCTGAGAATGACTGATGTTTGGTTCAATGTTTAAGCAAAGCATTGGTCTTGAACTGTTCCCCTTCACCACGTTAGGCACGTCCACCTGGGCAGCCTTTGGCTACTGGCCTGCTTAAGGTCGGGGGACCCCCCCCTTCCAAAATGGTGGTTTTCTTTCAGTGGCCACTTTCAAGGCGAAATGGGCATCAACGAAACACGCACCCGTTCGGCTGGTCGCAGTCGACCCCGTCGGCCTCCCCCCCGCCAAAACGGGCGACTGCACCCTCGACCCTGGGCCTTGCGGCGTCCGAGGCCGCAGTGAGCTGCTCCAGCTGCAGCTCTACAACCTGGAGGCAAAGCAGCTGGTGAAAACAGCGCTGTTGGGGGGTAGCCTTTTTATAGAAAGTGCTTGTTTGATGAAAACCAATCAAAAAAAACAGCAACTGATTCAGACAACCATAGGCAAAGCAAAACGGAAAGCAAGAACCCGGCTTGCAAAAGACAAGCGGCCAATCTAAAAGATAAGAATCAATTGGCAATCGTGGGCATTTTTCGAGAACAATAAACGCGGCAGAAACGCGCAACAGCACAATACGGCTTTGGCATCAAGCAGAAAGAATGCAAAACGCTCAAACAAGTCCAGATCGAGGCAGCAATAGAATCGCTCAGCCATCCATCCACAAAGAAACTGGCCATAAGCAAACCAAACAGCAAGCCTCAGTATAACCCCCTTGCAAGAGCGGAGCAAGGATTCTCTGACCAACACCTACAAACATGAACAAGTCTGGAAACCACGGGGTTTGGCCTACCTCTGCGGACTGTGATTAGCAGGAACGCGTCAAACTTCAAGGCCTTACAGGCTCTCTCAGCAGTTTTTCTCAACTCCATGCGCTACATGATGAAATTTCGTGTGGGTCATTCGTTCTGTCAATCAGGATGCTTGCAATAGCTATGGGAGATCCGCGAGCCAAACTTGCTGAACTGGTGCACCTCCCCATGCGAACCAAGCAGGCACAGCTTCGGCCCTGCTCGCACCTCGATGGCTTCGGGAGGCAACCTGCAGCCCGACGGGGGGAGGCTTGGTCGGCTGTGAGCAAAGTGCCTGGAAAACGTCGGGAACTGGGAGAACTGCGCTAACCCCGAAGCCCAATCTTGACAAAGATTGAGCAGAACTGCCAAGTCTGCCAAGTGGCCCAAGGGTTTCTGACACCTGGGAAGCCCGGCGCGATCAGAGCAGGGAGCTCCGGGCAGTCCACGCGCTGCAACCTGAGAACAGGTCCGTGAAACGCAGCGGAAAAGTGCAGTTTCTTACAGCACCGGAAGGGAAAATTGCGCCGCGTTCTGTTCAGCCTGGTGTGAACCACGCAAGGTACATGACGACAGTCCCCACCCGGAAGCCCTGAAGCCCTGAAGCCCTGACTGGGGCCCCGGCGATGCCTGCAGCAATCTTACCGCCTCTTCCGGCGTGCCCTGGGCTCACAAAAGTCCCAAAGCCCAACACCCCCCCCCCCCCCAACCCTCCCCCCTCCCCACAGAAAAGCAAATTTGATGGAGGCCCAAATAAGGAAAATCAAAAGACCCAAACCCAGGTGAGCAGCGCCCGAAACATATTGACTTTGGGTTCTACCAACATGATAATAAAGCTCGCCACAACCCCAGTCAAGCAAGTTAGTAGAACACCAACTAACATAGCCAATGGGAGTTTGGGCGCTGCTCAGGCGGTCTTGCAAGGCTAGAAGAAACAAAGTTGATTGAGGGAAACTTCAGATTCTCCGCATTTTGAGGTACGCCAATGTGATCGGCTTGAAAGAAGTAAAGTTTCACACGTTTGACATCTCTCCACACTGGCCCCCCACCCAGAAGTGAGGCTCCGGCGGCGTCTTCTTGCCTGTAGCTTGTGCCAAAGGATAGAAACCCCCTCCACTTCCCTTGCTCTGAACTTCCAGCATTGGGGTTCTCACTTGCGGAGCTCCTGGGGACCATGCCGATACTGAACCGTCGCGTCGTCAGGCGCCGTGCCTGAATCGCCAAGGCAGCAGAGTTTGCACCATGACCCCCAGGCAAACCCAATGCTGTTTGACAGTGGTTCAAACAAGAACCTCGCAAGCAGGAAGACCCGATGAAAACCCAAGCGGTATCGCACCAAGATTGCTCGACAACTTCTCTGCCTTGGCGCTTGCCCTAGTATTGAACCATAGCGACATATAGGCTAGTATAAAAGTCTGAAGGCTCACCCATCCAAAACAAACATGCTATATCCAAATACATCACGAGGCAGAACTGCACCGCAAAGCGAAAAGCGCCCGTCACGTTGACCTCCCCAGTGCTCCAACTTACTTGTTCCACTCCCTGGACATCGCTTGGCTTGGGGGCAAGGCCCCAAAACTGTGCCCCTTTTTTCACCTGGAGTGAAATCAGAAGGAAGGCCGAAAGCCCCTGGGCCCCCAGCTCACGCCTCCGTGGACCTGAGAGGCGCGCGGGTTTAGCTGAAGACTTGTGGAATCTTGTGCGACATCGACAGAGATTCGACACCGGGTTGCATGCCGATGTCTTCTGGGTAATGGAACCTATTGCTTTGGGTACACGTTCCATGCTTTTGGCTCCTTATACCAAGCGCCCGGCTGGCCAGGCCTGGCGCGCCCCTCAGGGCAAGGCGCGTTGAGGCACTTAGCGAAGCTCACCAACCCAAACGAAAGGCTTGATATGAATAACCAACCCAAAGAATAAGCTTCACAAAACACCCTCATCATAGACCAAACACAAAAGATGTCCAAACTCAAACAGCGGAAATGTAGGTTTTGCATGTGTTACATGATTCGATTACAGAAAGACCCGTGACTTGCCCACGTCGCGCTCGTGAGCTGGCAAATATCCGCTAAAAGCGGAAAGCAAGGGCGAACATAGAATCGGGATAGGCCTTGGAAGATGCAAGCAAGGAAGCTGACACATCACAAAGGACCCAATTGGGACTCACTTTAAGAGAACTCACGCCTGGCCCCAAGGAACCGGGAAAAACAAGATAAAGATTCCCAGTCTTGACGCATGCCAAGGCAAGCACGCTGCCAGTACTGCTCCAGCCGGCTATCCAGGATCTCCTGCCGCAAAGGCCACGAAACTCCAGCCAAATGGGTGTAGAAATAGGGGCCAACCAAAACATGTTTAGTTTCCTTTGCCCTTTTAACACCAACCGTTCAACCACAAAATGGGCTCCTAAAAAAAAAGGCGCACCCAAGTCTCAAGAATCTGCCGTCTGCCACCCGCTCCTGGTAATCTTTCCGCATGGCCGCCGCCATGGACTTGAACGTCTCGCCTTCCGTGGCCTACCAAAAGCTCGGCGCATGGGATCCAGCCATCAGACCCCCGCCCCAAACGGGAAAGCAGTCCCGACTTCAACAAACCCACTCAGTTGCATTTGTGGCCGCAGCTGCTGCTGCTGCCCTTGCTAGATGCCATACATCACTGTCAGACTTTAAGGTGAGGATCGCAGGCAGGACATGCCTAATTTCAGCTCAACATTGCACCTGCTCATCTCAATCATAGTATGCCAACAGTCCCTTGCTCTCAAAAATGCCCGTTCCAACTTCTATGTCCCCCTGTGGTCCGGGGTGGGCTGGGAGCGGGGAAAAAGATGGTGAGACGGGACGGTGAGGGGATGGGGGGTGAGGGGTATGAGGAGCGTTTGAAGGTTGACTTGGGACCCCCTTGAGCAGCGCTGTAAGTTAAGGCTAGGTTTCTATAGAGAAGGTTCTTCACGCGCGTGACAGAGCTCGGTAGTAAGACTCTTCTGATTTGGCGGCGGATGGGGCTGTCGTCGCACGGGATTGCGACCCTCCTCGCGGATCGGAGTGGTCGATGTCAAAATATTGGCCTGCTTGAAGCTAGCCAGAGGTAGCGGCTTCTCACCCTCAAACATCACCCCATTAAAAGGAAACTCACTTTGAGTTGGCAACGAAGGCGATGCTTCAAACCATAGGGAGCACTGCTTTTTGTCGCCCCCTTTGGTCACCACCGGCCTGGGGATCGCCCGTGCTTGCTTCACTGGGCTTCCTCTCCTGGCGACACGAACGCAGGCGACTTACCCCCAATGCGCAGTGACCTGGGCGTGAATTTCAATGGGGTGGACATCATTCAGGTGGAGATTCATGTCCGCCAACCAATTTCCAGGTGGTTCCCCATTCAAATGCCTAGCACCAGAATGCCTGACAAAGCAACCTGTGACATCTGTCAAAGGATTCCAAACACGATTCGAACGTTCGCAGCGCGCTGGCCGGCCATGCCCATTCGCTCCGACAGAGCTCTGCATTCACGACAGAGGAACCCAAGAGTGCTTGAAATGGAACGGTGCACCTTCGCCATGCTTCTCTAGCTTTTGTGGCACAAAGCGCCACAGTGAGTGCAAGGTAAAAACAGCTCGGATCCGAGCCCCTTTCCAAACATCAAACAAGCGTACAAACAGAACCAGACAGCGTGGAGAGCCCCACGATGTCAACCACCCTGAACCCTGGGTGCCCTTCCCCCCAAATTGGCTTGTCTCGGTATTTGAAAGACCCCACGAAATGGTTGGCTTCCTTCTCAAGAGAGGCTCCCAAAAAGCAAAACAGACAAAACGCGCATAGGCACCTCCAGCAGCTCACGCAGGGAGCCCTGCAAGCCGCGGATGTCCTGCTGTTGACAGAACCTTTGTACAAAAATCCAAGTGAACATTATCATAATCCGCCGACCCCTTTCTCCAAAGGGTGGGAAGGGTTTGTCTTCGTCCTTGTCTTAGTGATGATTGTCAGCATCACTGATGTTGAGTGATGATATGCATCATCAGGATCATCATCATTATCCTGGCACTCTTTCATATTGTGCCGTTAGACCCGACTGGAAATGCAGAGGATGCGTAGTCATGATTGTCATGATAACTGCTGGCGATGCTGCGGATGCATGGTGATTTGTCAGCGTGGCAGTCATGATGATGATAATAATCATCACTACGCATCCTCAGCATTACCATGACAACATCCTGATGATAATCATCACTATGCATCCGCGGCATCAGTTATCATGACAATCATGACTACGCATCCTCTGCATTTCAAGCCGGGTCCCACCAGCCAACATCAGTGATGCTGATAATCATCACCAGCAGTCATGATGATAATTGTCACTTTGCATCCCCTGCATAGTCGCGTCATGATGCTGCTGATGATGATGATGACCCTGACATTAGCAGCAGTTATCATGACAATCATGACTACGCATCTTCTGCATTTCCAGTCGGGTCTAGCGCACTTACACTTGAACCAAACGTACATGCCATCAGGATTCATCATTATCGTGGCACTCTTCTTATTCATATACGTTAAATATTGCCTTTAGACCGGACTGGAAATGCAGAGGATGCGTAGTCATGATACCATCTGATTGCATCCCGAGGTGTTCCTAACGGCTTACTTCTCGCGAAGACGAAGCGATGACACAAAGTCCACGATTTGCATCCACAGCAATACAACGCAGTCTTGCGAACAAAAAAATGTGCCCCCCCGAGTTTCAACACACCGGGGGCACTTCTTGTAAAATCCAAGAAAGTGCTCATTATCATGCGAAATAATCCTGCAGTAGCTTGTTTGAGATGCAGGGAATGCGTCGTCATAATTATCATAACAACTGCTGGTGATGCTAAAAATGCAAAGTCACAATTATCATCATAACTGCTGGCGATAATGCGAATGCATAGTAATTATTATCAGCATCCCTAATGTTGGGTAATTATTTGCATCATCAAAAGCATCATCATTATCGTGGTGCTCTTCTTTTTCAACATCTGCTTTAAGTGTGCCGTTAAACCCGACAAAGAAGGCGTAGTCATAAGTGTCATAGCTTATAACAACGTCCCCTGTCAGCAAGCCGGGGTCGGCGGCACAGGGCGGCAGCCCTTAAACAACCCGCAGTCCATCCAAGGGTCCATGTCCTTTCTCTGATTCTCCCAACTTTGGCTTGATCTTCTGTTGGCTGAACCAGGATTGTGGGGAATACTCACTTGCGTGGAATTGCCCAGAGCCCTGCACTGTTTGTTTCCGCAAGTGCCTTCATTCCACTCGATTGTTCCCTGAAGGCCAAGACGATGGGCTTTGCTTAGTGCTTGCAAAATGAGCTAGTGCTTGGTCTGGTTCAAGGACAAAAGCATGTGTTTGTGTGGGTTCCTTGCTCCAGGCTTTTTCGTGAAAAGAATGGCCACTGGTTTGAGCAAATTTGATTTGAGCAGGTCTCGATTTAAAGGAATGCCAACAAGGAAGGCGTACATGCGCCTCTCCGGCTTCTGAACTTCCATGCAAACAATTTGCGGAGGTTGATGTGGAAATTTCGGAAAACGGATATATACAGCCAGCACGTGATAGGTTCGTGACATCTACTACGGTTCGCTCAAACCTGCGGATCTGACGCAAAGAAGGATGCCAGGTTTGGCAAAGCCCCTGGCTCGCGCAGGCTCTTTTCCGTCCCTTTGCCGGTCTGGTGTCATACGGCCTTGGGATGAGCGCGACTTGGTTCGCAATCAGATTCGACGCGCCACAATTCGTAAGCAACAAACAGCAAATGGATCAAAGGTGACAGTCATAGCACCCATGGAACTCTTAACATTGCAATCTGATGTTCCGTCAAAATGGGCATCTCAAGCCTACAATGGTTCTGGAAGCTGAGGGCAAAGTGCTCGTAAATCTTCATCGGCAGTCAAGCTGAAAGCTTACTTCTTAGCCCTCAGCTTTCAAACCTCAAAGCAAAGGTGCCAACCACAGGGCGCGGGTCTGGAAAGTGAATTGCGTGGAGGCTGGCAAATAGGAACGTCGAAAAACTATCAACTCACACATCCTCGCCGCCACGCCCCATCTGGTCTCAAGCCTTGCGGATTCCAAATCACCAAACTGAACCGCCGGCGCTGCCTGTTTTCGGACGAAGCCTTGGGCTACACCTTTCCAAGGGGCCTACCCTGCGCTGCGTATCCTATGAGTCGGAATGTACGACTAATGACTAATGACTCGCTTCCAACGCTGTGACGTACCTCTGTGCTAGGCGCCCCCGAGCTGTCGTGCCATTTCAAGCCGTCAAGGCATTGAATACGTCCGCAAGCCGGCCATGAGCTTGCCACCCGAAGGTAGGTGCTGCACATCCTAAAGCGCATCGAGCAACTCACCTGAGCATCTGTTTTTGATACGTTGCATGAGTATGTCTGTTTCTGCGGGTGCTCTCTTTAGCTCAGCTTGAAAGGATTGTTGAACATCCATCCACAATATGTATCTACTAGTCTACGCCACTTTCATCCGGCGTTAAGACAATGTTCCCCAAAGCATACTGTGATTTTGTCAATTTGACAATTTGAACAACAAAGAAGTGGATAGTATGACAATGGTTTATGCAACAAGAAACATGGGGGGGGGAAATGTGACAACTGCAAAGGCAAAAACATCTCCGACGCAAGTGATTTCATTTCGACCGAACCAAATTAGCAAACCCTGTCAAACAAATGATATGCCTCCTATCCTCACTGCCATTTCGTTCTCTACAAATCACTCCTTTATGGGCTGCAGAAGGTTAGGAGAAAAATAAAGTCCGCTTAATGCTGCCACTGGTTAAAGTACCTACTTCTGATGAACCTGGGGCCCGCCAGCATCGCAGCATGCTGGCGCTTCTGTGTAAATCCCACTAGGCACCGCTCTTGCATGCACACACATCTTGGAACAGAGACACCCGAGAGAGAGAGTCATGTCAAACTACATGCTTCACTTTGCACTCTTGTTGCATGTATGTTCACTACCGCAGGCCTTGAGCTTACTACTCCGCATGAGTCAAAAGGTTCGCAGCTGCAGACTACATTGGTTGACTGTTTGTTTGAACACTACAGCACTTGCACTTGTAAGCAAAGTAACCACCGATTTTAACGTGGTAGCGGAGCTGAGATCCTAAACATAGGGGAGCTCCAGTAAGCAGTAAGTACTACAACAACAGAGCAACAGCAGCTACATGCCAAACTACTACGACATGTCAGGAGAAGCAGCATCAGCCTCAGCACAACAAACTACGGGAGCAGAGAACGGGCCAACAGCAGACACAGTAGGAGCCACGACTACGGGAGCAGGAACAGAACAAGACAACGACGTTCAGAGACTACATGGATACAAACTGCCACCACCCTTCTTCACTGGTGACTACTCCCAGTATGAAGAATGGCTGTTCAAGCTACAAGCATACCTCGGCCTCATAGACCGAGACTTCGACCTGGTGCTACAACTAGCACAAGTGGCTACACGACAGATTGAGGACACAGACATCAGAACACACATACTCGACCCTACACAAGCAAGAAAAGCAGTAGACCTCTCCAGAGATCTACACTACATCCTCATCAACATCTGTCAGGGAGCAGCAGCTACAGTAGTAAGGCAAAACCGCTACAACGCAAACGGATGTGAAACACTACGACTACTACACAACAGGTTCAGCCTACCAGTAGGAACAAGCAGCGTTGGTTACCTTACCAAACTACTGGAACCCACATTCAACGAAGCGCAGTTTGAAGAACAATTTCTAGAATGGGAATACGACATCAACCGCTACGAGAAAGACAATGGAACAGCACTACCAGGTGGAATCAAAATAGCAATACTACTCAACAAAACCAAATGAGCACTGCAGCAACACCTCCAACTGCGAGCTGGACAGATCACGAACTACATCGAGATCAGAGCACTCATCCTGGACTACAAAGGCAAAGGAAAAGGAAAAGGCGGCTACAAAGGAAGCAAGAGCAAAGGCAAGTACAGGAGTAAAGGACACTACAAAGGATTCAACAAAGGCAGCAAAGGAAACTACAACAAAGGAGGAAACAACAAGAGCAAAGGAAAAGGCTACTCAGGATCCAAAGGATATGGATCAAGCAAAGGCTACAAAGGCCAAGGAAACTACAGCAAATCAAAAGGAAAAGGAAGCAACAACTACACAACATGCCATCGATGTGGCAAGCCCGGCCACTGGGCACAAGACTGCAGAGTGCCGGTATGGCACATAGGAGAAGGAGAAGAACTACATCCACTAGAAAAAGAACAAGCAGATCACGACAACAATGATGAACTACCTCAGGATGTGAACGACACTTGGGACTGGTACTACGAAGGAGAAGAAGGACAACACGAGGTGAACTACATGGAGGAGAACTGGAACGACTACGACTATGACAACAGCAGGGATTGGAATGACAACAGCTATGAGGACACAGCAAACTACATTGGAGGCATCAACGAGTCACACCTCACCATTGGACACATCAGACAAGCAAACTCACGACTACACAATCACAAATCCAAATCACTACTTGGCAAGAGAACAACACACACAACATCATGGAACGACCACAGCAAGAGCTTTCAACAATTCCTACAAGAAGACACCACAAAGCTACACTTCGACATAGCAGCAGCAAGACAACAACAAAGGAACAAGAAGATTGAGGACACTATCACGCACTACATCATGTACTCCAACTTCAAGTCATACCACCACCTGTTGATCGACTCAGGAGCATCTACACATGTTTGCCCAAAGGACTACGCACCGGATCTTCCACTACGACCTTGTGGAGAATCAGTTCCACAACTCTACACGGTTACAAACAAGAAGATTCCTGT